GTGATAACTCTGCTGGAATGGGATCGTGTCAGGTTTTGTTTTGCTGTTGAAAAAAATGTGCCCGGTGTTTCACTGCAGGAGGTAGGAAGAACCCTACAAAGAACACAAATGGGTTCCTGAAGCAGTGTTGTTAGCAGAGGCAAAAGCCTTGCTGGCATTTGCAACTTTAAAAAGACAACTCAGTTTACTGTTGCCGCATGATTTGTGTTAACAGCAAGGATGCACTCATGACCTATAGATGAAAGCTGTAATTTTTTTTTTTAAGTTACCTTAGCTCGTTGTTTAGTCATTTAGTCATGTCTGACTCTTCGTGACCCCATGGACCAGAGCACGCCAGGCACTCCTGTCTTCTACCTTAGCTATAATCATCAATCAGTGCCGGATTTATGTATAAGCTAAACCAGTGTTTCCCAACCTTTTTTGGGCAAAGGCACACTTGTTTGATGAAAAAAATCTCGAGGCACACCACCATTACAGCCCCGTGACGTCAGTGCGCAGCGTCACGCCGGAAGGGACGCACGAAAGTGTAAGTTTCAATTTTTCCCCCTCCCCCTTGCCGGGGAACCTCCAAGCTTTGGGGGTGGGGGGGGAGGAGGCAGCAAAGCGAGGGACTGAGGGACTCCTCCAACGACAAGGGTTGGGGAAGAAGAGAAAGGGCTATTCCGCTCCAGTCACGGGAGGGGAATATGTACTGGCCCAACTGGTGTGCGGTCTTCGGAAAGCGGGGTGCGGGAAGGAAGCCTAGGCTCGGGGTCCACCAACCTCGGCGGAGAAAGGCAACAACCGAAGCCTCCCGACGGTTTCGGGGGAGACGTTCAGAGCTTCCCTGGGAGTTTCTCAGCCTGCCTTTCGGAGGAAGAGGCGGAGGGGGCCTGGGGATGGCGGTGGCCTCGGCCTCGCCCTCCCTCCGTCCCTCTACCTTTGTAGTGGACGCGCAGGTTGTTCTGCGAGAGGCCGATGTAGCTGAATTTGTCCTTCGGGCTCCAGGAGCGCGGCAGCGGCGTCTCCTGCTCGTCCACGGCCGGGTAGAGCCGCTTGAGGCGCCGCTTGAGCTCCTTCTCCTGCTCGTTCAGGGCCGGGTTGCCGCCGTGAGGGAAGGGCGCCGGGGCACTGCTGCTGCTGCTGCCGCCGCCGCTCCCGGCAGGCATGGGCCCAGCTGAGGCGGCGGCGGCTGTTGTGGTGGTGGCGGCGATAGCGGGCGGAGGAGGGGGCGGCGGCGGGGCCGAGGTGGCCGGGGGCGGCGGGGGAGGCGGCGGCGGGTGGAGCAGGAGGGCGGCCGAGGCCAGTGAGGGAGTAGGGTTGCCCGGGGCTTGAGGAGCCGTCGCCGGGAGTTGCTGCTGCTGTTGTTGCTGCTGCTGCCCGGACATGCCGAGAGGCTCCGCTTCTTCGGCTGAGGGACCCGACTGAGCTCGCGCGAAGGCAAGCAGGGGGGTTGGAAACAGACGGAGCCGATGACGAGCCGGCGCGTGCGTGCAGCGGCTGGCCTCGTAGGGAGCCGAGGGGCGGGGCTTCCTTTCTGAAGGAGCTGAGGGTGGGGGTCCTCCGGCGCCTTCGGCGAAACGGCGCCGGCCCAGAGCGCTTCTAGGAGGCTGCCTTTGTGCGCGACGTTAAGCCCTCTTTCCCTCCCTCCAGCCCCGTGTCACCTGTGGAAAAGGGGGGTGGATCCAGTGATGCAACTCAGAAAACTGTTAGGGAAGCCAGAGCAGGAAAGTGAGTAGGGGGCGTCGCCGCCGCTTTAACCCACGTTTCCTTTTTGAAAGAGAAACTTAAGTCAGTGTTTCCCAACCTTTTTTGGACTCGCCCGCCTCCCTCCAGGCAACATCTCGCGGCACACCAGGCAACATCTCGCGGCACACTAGTGTGCCGCGGAACACCGGTTGGGAAACACTGAGCTAAACAAGCTATAGCTTAGGGTCCCACTCTCTTGGGGCCCCCCAGAAAATTTAAAGGAAAAAACCAACCTGGATGTACATTTCCAAAATAGAAGATAAAAAACAAATAGAATAAAACCTACATACAGCATCAGTGTTTTGTGTTTTGTAGGCTCCTATGTGGTAAGTAATGGGCCCTGCCTGCTAGCCTGCTCCCTAAAATATCACTGGTTTGCTCATTAATTGTATTTCAGTTCAACAATTACTTTGATAAAATACACATTTTGTTATGTGCAAATGGCTTTAGATACCTATTAGGTCCATAAATTACCATATAACATATATCCAACACAAAAAACAGTGACAATTTGTTGTTGTCAAAGGACAGCTGGACATATAAAGGGCCCCATATGAAGGGTGGTGCTGCGGGTTAAACCACAGAGCCTAGGGCTTGCCGATCAGAAGGTTGGCGGTTCAAATCCCCGCAACGGGGTGAGCTCCCGTTGCTTGGTCCCTGCTCCTGCCAGCCTAGCAGTTTGAAAGCACAAAGTGCAAGTAGATAGGTACCGCTCCGGCGGGAAGGTAAACGGCGTTTCTGTGCGCTGCTCTGGTTCGCCAGAAGCGGCTTAGTCATGCTGGCCACATGACCCGGAAGCTGTACGCCAGCTCCCTCAGCCAATAAAACAAGATGAGCGCCGCAACCCCAGAGTCGTCCGCGACTGGACCTAATGGTCGGGGTCCCTTTACCTTTAAGCATTTAGGTGAGGACTGTTTGTGCCGTGACAATTGCAGTGATCCCGACACATTTGTTGCCAGTATTGAAAATAACTTCTAGAAAGGGCTACATACATCGGATAGCCAGGCAGGCTTGAACAAATTGCACCATCAGCCTCGGTTGCTGAGCCGTACAATAGGAATAACGGTGCCCTCTCTCTCACAGTGTTGTTTTTGTGGCTGCCCCTTTTGAAAGCAGAGGGAGGGTGACAGCCCACATTACAAAGCTGTTTGAACCCACATCCTAGCTGAGCTTCTGATGCCATTCAAGGCATCACATGCCTACTCTGGATTTTTCCCTGGGAAGCCTGCAAATGTCAACAAACGGACTCTAGTACCTGCGAGGGTGAGAAGATTCATTGTTGTCTATTGAAATCCAATGACCCTTTCTGGAGAGGTTTAGTCAGGGGTTATTAGCTGTCCTTCCCATTTCCCAGAATGGTGAGCTGTTCCAGTGGAGCTTTTGTAGCTGATGCACAAACACAGGATAAAATGTGTCTGGGGAAGCCCATCCAGGGACCTAGAATACGGAGTTGTGGGGAGGAGATGGAGAGAAAGAATGAGCCACCGACTGACTGAAGCTGCTTTGACAGACAATCAGATTACCCAACACAAAGAGAGCAGAAGCCGCAAGGGCGTCCGGCAAGACAGATCCCACCAATCGGGTGGTGGTTGCTGGGTATAAGAGAACCAATCCATGGACACAGCTATAAAAAGAGGATGGTGAGTGGGGAGTTTGTCTGCGGCTCGCTCTGCTTGAAGCCACTAATGCAAGTGAGAATAATTAAGAAGGAGTCCCATGGGGTTCAGTGGAGTGGGGGCTGTGAGCCTAACTTTTACTTAAAGTAAAGGTAAAGGGACCCCTGACCATTAGATCCAGTCGTGACTGACTCTGGGGTTGCGGCGCTCATCTCGCTTTATTGGCCTAGGGAGCCGGTGTACAGCTTCTGGGGCATGTGGCCAGCATGACTAAGCTGCTTCTGGCGAACCAGAGCAGCGCACGGAAATGCCGTCTATCTTCCTGCCACAGTGGTACCTTTTTATCTACTTGCACTTTTGGGGTGCTTTCGAACTGCTAGGTTGGTAGGAGCAGGGACTGAGCAATGGGAACTCACCCCATTTTGGGGATTCAAACTGCAGAGCTTCTAACTGGCAAGCCCTAGGCTCAGTGGTTTAGACCAGTGTTTCCCAACCTTGTGCCTCCAGCTGTTTTTGGACTACAATTCCCATCATCCCTTGCCACTGGTCTTGCTAGTCAGGGATGATGGGAGTTGTAGTTCAAAAGCAGCTGGAGGCACAAGGTTGGGAAACACTAGACCACTGTAGATAAATAGGTACTGCTCTGGCAGGAAGGTAAACGGCGTTTCCGTGCGCTGCTCTGGTTCGCCAGAAGTGGCTTAGTCATGCTGGCCACATGACCTGGAAGCTGTACGCTGGCTCCCTCAGCCAGTAAAGCGAGATGAGCGCCACAACCCCAGAGTCGTCAGCGACTGGACCTAATTGTCAGGGGTCCCTTTACCTTTAAGTCCCTTGGAACAAATAGGAACTTGCTGGGATCAGACCTGGCAGGGAACGAGGGAAGAAGGAAATGAAATAAAAAAGCATTGCTTGGCAGAATATTTATCTAGCTATAGCACGTTGACTCGTGCTCATTGGGGCTTACTCCCAGGTAAGCGTTCAGGGGATTGCAACTGGTTTAAAGCCAAACTAGTTTCAAATTGTACCCAGTTCGAAAACAAAGCCTTTTCGGTGTGGTGTTGCAGTCGTGGAGAGCCTGGCACCAGGGTTCAAATCGCCCCCTCCAAGCCACGAAGCTCATTGGGTGACCTTGGGCCGGGCAGTTTCTTAGCCTAACCAACCTCACAGGGTTGTTGTGTGAGGGTAAAATGAACAGGGGGGCGGGAGGAGAACCATGGACACCACCTCCAGCTCCTTCCTTGGAGGAAAGCCGGAATATCAACAAAATAATAATAATAATAATAATAATAATAATAATAATAATATAATGATGATGATGATAATAATAATAATAAACCTTTTTATTGTGGGGAGGGGATCTTTTGTGTTTGTTTGTGGCGAGTGGGGGAGGGGGGAGAAAAAAGTCGGGAGGACGAAAAGTAGGATCTGGTGCATCCCCGATCCTTAGCACGTGGCCTTGCAAGTAAGGCCCCGGCCACCTTCGCCCTAAAATGTGCAGGGAATGGCAGTTCAGGCTTTTGGAAAAAAATAATAATTCAAACCTCCCCCCTTAATATAATGAAGATCTGTGCATGCTGGCCTATTAAAATTATTTTTGGAGAAGAGATCCAGACTTTCCCTCCCTCTCCGCCCTGCTCGTGGGGTCGTCGGCGTGTTCCCATTTTGCTCCCTCTGCGGGCAGCGAGGCAGTTGTGTGTGACTCCCTCTCCGATGCGCCCAGGCTGCTGGGCGAGACGAGGAAAGCTTTTGCAGGGCCGGGAGAGGGCAGCTGGGAACGGGAGGCAATTCGGCTCGTCCCTGATGCACCTCCTGTGCGTGTTGTGTGTCTGTTTGTCTTCCTCCTCCTCCTCCTCTAGAGCCAGGCGAGAGAAATCTGCAAGGGGAGGAGGCACCTTTGCGGGCGCGCTTGGCAGCTCCGGCAAGAGCGAGGGCGCAAAGCCGGAGAGCGAGATGCCGTGTGCGCGCGTGTGAAGCTTTGACCTTCTTGCTCTGCTGATCAATTGCTGAGTATTTGATTTGAAGGCGGCTCCTCCCCCTTCCTCCCTCCCAGCCCGCCTCCTCTGCGATCGTGTGAAGCGAGGAGGAATCTCTCCCATGACTATGATCATCCTCAAGCTGAAGGCGGAGACGCAGCAGAAGGCGTCGAGATGGTGAGCTGATCTGGGTCACTGGGGTGCTGATGGAGGGAGACCACGAGCACGCATCTTTTTGGGGGGTGGAGTGTGTGTGTGTGTGTGTGTATCCGATCTCGTGCAAAGAGAGAGCGCACCTTACAACCCCCCCCCCGCCCTCCTTTCCACGCTAACCTTTGTTTTGCCCACAAAGGTTGCGGCTTCGTAGGCGCCTTCCCCTCCCCCATGTGGAAAGGTGGTTGGTTTTTTTTGGGGGGGGGAAGAGAAGCTAATCATATTAAGGATAATCGCCCACGTTTCGTGTGCTCGCTCATTGTTTCGGAGCGGTGGGGGAGCAGCGCGTGTGCTGGATTGCTATGGGAATGGGTTAAAGGAAGAAAAAAACCGCATATGCAAAAAAGGCTAAACAAACCGGCATTGTGCCGTGTGGGAACGCTGCATTGCAAAAGGAAGCCTTTGCTCTGGTCAGGGTAGGAAATCGGCGCCTCCCCCCCTTCTGCGTGGTTTGCATTGTGAACAGTCCAGATCCAGGGCTTAAACCACGCTGCCCTATCCCTCCCCAATAGGTAGATGATTGTGCACCCTATGTCCCCCCCCCTAAAAAACTAGCTTGCCCCTTAAACTTTCCTCTGTTGCCTGAAGAATTCTTTCCTGGGGCTGCAAAGAACTTGAGAGAACTCCTGCTTCTTCCTCCTCCTCCTCCTTCCTTTTCAAAATCAGTGCCACCATGGTGATGAAATTGGATAAATAGACTTGGCTGTCTGCAATGTGCTAATTCTCTGGGGAGAAAGCTGCAGCCCTGGGCAGGCTTCCCTGGGAGGAAGCCCCACCGAGCACAGTGGGGTTTACTTCTGAGTAAGCATGCCTACAGGAGTGCAGGGTTGCACATTCCTTCTAGCTGCTTTGGGTAGCATCGCAGTGGGTGTCACCCCCCCTTTCCCCTTCACACTGCAGAGCCTCTCATAGTCTCCCCCCCCTTGCCCCTCCCCCTGCTTTTGAGATGTTTCCAAGCGCCACTTATATATGTCAAAGCAGCGACTTGCTTGCAGATAAATATGTATTTTCTTCCAGGGAGCGAGGGTAAGGTTTATTTCTGTGCCGTTTTAAAGAGAGAGAGTTCTAGTCCCAAGTGACAGAATATTGACATCTGCTGATTGTATCTTAGCCAAGATGACATGCTGCAGTCTCGGCTTTAAGCGGGTTGCCAAGTTTGAGTTTCCAGAGAGATTGGAATGGATACTCCTAAAACTTACAAAATTGTAGGAAGGGCGAAACTGAGCGTTTGCTTTCCCACACAACCCTCAAGGGCACACAAATCAAGGGGGAAGCAGTGTTGCTGTACCAAGCTCTTTGTGTGTGTGTGTGTGTGTGTGTGTGTGTGTGTAAAAAGTATATCTAAAATAGCATATGGCAGGGTAGCAGGTACTTGTAAACTAGGAAGATTGGTTCTGTGCTGTGAGCCAGGGCATTGCTGGGTGTTTGTCCTCCACTCGCTGTTTCCGTAAATGTATGAAATGTTTAAATGATGTACTTCATTAGGCAAATTGTTTGCTTGTTTCTTCCTCGAAGTAAGTAAGGCTAAGTAAGGCTAAGTAAGGCTTAAGAATGCAAGAGAGTTCATGTTCTTTCAAGCATCCTAGCTTGGAAGATATTGGTGATTCCCCCCCCTTTTGTTCTTTTCTTTGATTAAATGATTTTTTCATATGAAACACACACACACACACACACACACACACACAATCAACAGCATGGAAACCAAACCAATATAAATATACCAGCTGCTGTTTTTTGGTTTTTTAAAAATCTGTTTCCTATGTAATATATTTGGTTGGACAATTACTTGAGGCTAGTTACTAGGGATGGGTGAATCTGTCAGTTTCAGTTTCTCAGTTTTTGCCTCTTCAATTTAGTTCTCCATATTTCCATATAAGTTTGTGATTTATTTATTTTTAAATAAATAAATGGAAAGTCCTCATGAAAATTCATCCGCAGTTTGGTGCAAATTTCTCCTAATGCACACTTTTTTTTTCTTTCAAAGCAATTTCCTCATATTTAATGCACCTGTGCATGTTTCACAAAAGCATGCAATTTTATGCACATTAATGCACATTTTTGTGCCTATCACTTGGCTTTGGAGAGCTGCCTTGCGAAACTGGCAGAAGTGTGGGTTTCTCAAAGGACTGCTTTGTTTCTGTTTGCTAATTGTTTCGGCAAGTGCGAATTAGGTGGGTTTGCCTTTAAATGCAAATTTAATCCTATTTCTCCCCCCTCCCTAATCTGAGTTCAAGGAAACATTCCAGCCAGGCAAAAGCAGTCAAGTGTAATGGAGCAGAGCTTGGGAGAGGAGACTGTGGCCTGGGGAGAGTCCCAAGGGCTACAGTGAGAGGCCTGGAATACTGCATTTGGCCCACAAGGAGGTGTGATTTCCCAGCATGCCTCACTCCTCAGGCCAGCGCCCCTGTTCAGTGTCTTGAATTTAAGGATGGGCTGCCATATTGCACAGTCCGTCCCCAAGCCAGAGGTTCGCCCTACCATTTGACTCATGGAATCGGTTGACTGCTGAAGGTTACCTTGATAATGCAGGGGTTCCAAAATTGTGGTGGTCACTGGCATGCCCGTATTAAATATCCATAATTGGTTTCTTAATTGCATGTGTATTGCTTCTTCTGTTTCTGATGCATTGCAATCTGGAATCTACGGCGTTGTAATTTGCAATATACAATAAAATATAAGAAATAAAAACCGTGCAGCATCTAGCACAGTGCATTACAACTGCTACAACAGGCCATAAAAATTTTAAGTGGTTTGCCAAGACCATCAGCAATTTTCATGTGGTTGATAGGGAGGGAAAGCTTAGGCTGTGTTTGCTTCGTGTATCATTTTGGAAGGTGTCAATTATAGTAGTACCTCTGGTTACAAACTTAATTTGTTCCGGAGGTCCGTTCTTAATCTGAAACCGTTCTTAACCTAAGGCACCACTTTAGCTAATGGGGCCTCCCGCTGCCGCTGTGCCACCAGCGTGCAATTTCTGTTCTCATCCTGGGGCAAAGTTCTTAACCCGAGGTACTACTTCCGGGTTAGCGGAGTCTGTAACCTGAAGTGTTTGTAACCCGAGGTACTACTGTACTTAAGTTGATGAAATGTGAAGTGAATCACTGAAAAGTGATCTGAGTCAGATTCCTTCCCCCAATCCTACTTGTTAACACCAATACAAGACCCACCTGTTCCATGTTTTCAATAAAAGCCTTGTCAAGTTGCCTGCTTTCCGTCACCTGTGCATTCTTAGTTAGCTTTACTATATGGGCTATCTCCCAGTCTGTTACTAGTCGATTAAAAATACATATACACAAGTTGCTATATAGGCAGTTGCCAGCAAGTATTTTACCAGTTTTATATCTACTGGTAAGGCGGACATATCCTTACATATGCAAACAGTGGGACCAATGGATCTACAGTGGTACCTCAGGTTACATACGCTTCAGGTTATAGACGCTTCAGGTTACAGACTCTGCTAACCCAGAAATAGTACCTTGGGTTAAGAACTTTGCTTCAGGATGAGAACAGAAATCGTGCTCCGGTGGCGCAGCAGGAGGCCCCATTAGCTAAAGTGGTGCTTCAAGTTAAGAAATGTTTCAGGTTAAGAACGGAACTCTGGAACGAATTAAGTACTTAACCCGAGGTACCACTGTATCAGCAAATCAATATCCTGTTGTTAGTTTTATCTCATTTTCCAAAATACTTCTATTTTGGGCCAGCACCAGAAAATAGGAAGCACAGCCTCATTTACTGGATACTGGTGAATTTATTATCAGTGTTGTCAGGGGTTCAGGGAGAGAGGCACAGAGCAGGCAGGAGATGGACAACGATTGGGAAGAATCCGAGGGGAGCGAGGAGGAGGATGACAATGACTCGAGGGATTCCATAAGTCTTTCAAGTGAATCAGAGGATTCCCAGAAGGGGGCGCCTGTGGTCAAGCTAAGGGGAGTCCCAGGGGGGACGCGTCAGGAGCAGGGGGCCAGCAGGAGATCCCAAAGTGGCAGCTGGGAGTCAGGACCGGCTTCCCCGCCAGAGCGCAGCGAAGGGGGTGGAGGTTCCAGTGTGACAGGGGAAGCAGCTCCGGCAGCAGAGAAGGAGGGGAGGTCGGAGCAAGGCATCCTCCCGGAAGGGGAGGGGAGTAGTGAAGGAAGTAGTGTAACTGTCAAAAGGAAGGTTAGAGGTTGGGCGCGCGCGCCAAGTTCAAATGTGAAGGCGCGCGGAAGAACAGGGAGCCCGGAGGAGGAGCCAGGTCCCAAAGCCCGCAGGAGGGGGGGAGAGCAGTCTGGGGATTCAGCGTCAGGGGAATCCAGGAGGGGCGAAACCCCAGCGGGCAGGAAGACCCTGCGGAAAAGGAAAGAAAGGAAGAGGTGGAGCAGCGCAAGCCTCTTAAACTGGTGCAGGGGAGGGACTGATTCAGAGGGGACTTCAGCGGTCTAAGCGTAACAGACGTGGGGCTGCGCGCCTCGGCTGTGGAGCAGATAATGAACTGCAATAAACATCTCTTTATATAAAGTGGACGTGGCGTTGGTCTCTTGTGAGCTGGGACCTGAGGCAGCCCTGACAAGTGTGTTCCTTTATCAGACAAAAAATTGGGTTTCTCTCCCAGTAGTTGTTGGTAATATCAATAACTAGTTCTGTTATTGGGCTGAAAGTGCTGGCTGCTGTTGGCTTCCATTTGGTCGTTTGGGATTCCCTTGCAAAGGGTTCTAAAAATGCATTTGGCTCTTTGGTGGAAGGACTGGCATAAGGTTAGCAAAATGCGGTGTTGCTGTCTCTATGTGAGTGCGCACACACAGGATAGCTTTGATTCAGCACCAGATTCTTCCCTTTTGCATGTTGGTGAGAGCTACATATTCTGTCATAACTCTACTTAAAAAAACAATAATACACCTCTTGACATTTATCTAGGCCATCATGTGTATGCAGACATATCACAGTTATGGGAATCTGAGCTGGCGCATCTTATTTTCTTCAGTGCAATT